CCGTGACTGGTAAATGATGCGCCCCCTTTAAGGTTGAATTTATTGCTTCAGCCAAGTTTGTTGTCATATGACCATAGCGATACCCCCCGTCATATGCATTTGTCCACATTTCTTTGCTGATGTCCATAATGTACTCGCACCCCTTCTTATTTTTGCCAAACAGCTCTTGTAGCATCGACTCAAACCTTTGAGGTAAGAGTTCGTAACCTAAGTCATTAGGAATATGTAATAGTTAATATGAAGTATAATAAGTAATAAGAAATTGATAGAAAAATTGGGAAAAAGTAACATACCCATCCGCACGACTAACTGACGTTCATCGTTCTTCTTGTATTTTCCGTAATAGTTTGCAGCAATATGACGGACACAATAACGATGTTGAACATGTGGAGGTCTATACATTGTACCCAAAGAGTCCATTGCTGCTTTTATCCCGGCTCCTCGGTCTGAAATAATGCATACTCGTTCCCTGGTGACAACATGTAAACGTAAATTTTTAAGGAAAAAAGCCCAAGACTCAGTGTCTTCTCCTTGAACGAGGGCAAACGCAACAGGAAGAATATTGCGGTTTCCATCTTGGACCACAGCCAATAATAAAACTTGCTTGTATTTCCCATACAAGAAAGTACCATCAATTTGGACAATTGGTTTACAGTACTTGACTGCATTAATACACTGAGGGTAAGTCCAAAAGACTCGGTAAAATTGGCAGCGATCGCGAACCATTCGATCATTCACGTAATGATGTTGAGTTTCGAACTCAACAATTGTCCCGGGATTAAGTCTTTGCACAACATGAAACCAACTGGGCAGCTCGTTGTAAGAGGAATCCCATTCGCCATGAAGTTTGCAAATGGCATTCTGTTTTGCCAACCACGCTTTTTATATGAGACAGTGTACCCATATTGGGACTGTATAGCAGAAATCAACACTGCAACAGCTATATGAGAGCTTTGCTTCACAATGGGCATGATTGCTTGACAAATAATGTTGGAGTCCAAGTTGGGATGATCCTGGTTTATACCTGTTGCACAACATGTATGAGGACCGTTGTATCTGGTTAGTTCCCATAAGTTGTTCTTCCTCTTCCTCTTTGATACACGGACCATCCATTGACATCCGTTGTGACGTTGGACGCAGTAGCAGACATATTCTCCGTGTTAGATCGATCAACTCGGGACTGAACTGTGTTACGAATATTGTAACTCTTTATTGCCATCATTGCTTCCTCCTTCGATGCGAACTCCATTCCAATATGTAAATTACCGTCATTGACTGATGATTGAAGTCCATAGTTTCCAACATCAGGAAGATCTGGAAATTCAGGCTCATACATTGCATCATAATCAGCCTCATACATATGTGCAGGAAGTTCGGCTGGTGTTGTATTTATCGGAACGTCATCCTCGTCATCATCAGAATGTACGTTAAACTGTGGTGAGTCAGGTTCAACGAATAATCCCGTTTCAGCACCATCTGCACCTGGCTCCCGAAGAGGTTCTTCTGGTGGAGATGAGGGTTCCTCCGATAATCCAATGTTGAGGTCAAATAAGTTCCCGCTTGCGTGTCCTCCCCTTGAACTTGAGGCCATTATATCATGTGGGATGTGAATAGACTGTCGTCTCGTTGGCATTTCCATATGTAAGTCGAAAACATTGGCAGATGAATGTCTGCCCCTTGAAGTAGAAGAGATGTTGCCATATGGATTATTGGTGAAGCCACGTGGGTTGAGATCATAAGCAGTTGCAGATGAATGCCTTCCTATTGAACTTGATGGCATGGTATATGGCGTTGGATCCGCCATTAATGATGTGAAATCATTACAGATAAGTTGTGTCGGGCTATCAACTTGATCAGTTTGATATGCAATGCCAAAGTGAGAGGAATATGAGAGACCACGAGTTACACGAACCTCAATAAAAGTGGCATACATTTCAATAAGAGATTGTGAACTCCCCATATGAGCATCAACCATCATAGAAACATCATCATCGTTTGAAAGATGAAATGATGTATACGTGAGCGGAAAAAGTTCAGTAGGAAATCTGTATTGAAGTGAAGATAGTCTTCTCTGGCCTGCTACACGAATCTTTAACGAAATTTTTGTGATTAACTCCTCAATTGTGATGTTTCTCTTCAAGGTTAAGGGGATATAATGATCTGACTCAAAAACAACCCCCTCTTCAGCTTCCTTAATTTCTCCATCATACAAAACAACAGCAGAAAGATGACTCATTTTCAGAGAATTTGAGAATTTAGAGTTTGGGAATTTGAGAATTTGAAAGATTGTGAACTGAAGTTTGTTTTGAAAGTTTATAATACGTTGCATATAATAGTTTCTATAATCGGTTCACTATTCACGTGAAGGCGCGTTCCCGGGGGCGCGCCTTCCATTATTTCGTCAGAGAATATTATCATTGCCCTATTATGTCATTCATGTCCCTCGGGGACACTAGATATATCAGTACCTATTATTTCACTATTCACGTGAAGGCGCGTTCCCGGGGGCGCGCCTTCCATTATTTCGTCAGAGAATATTATCATTGCCCTATTATGTCATTCATGTCCCTCGGGGACAGTAGATATATCAGTACCTATTATTTCACTATTCACGTGAAGGCGCATTCCCGGGGGCGCGCCTTCCATTATTTCGTCAGAGAATATTATCATTGCCCTATTATGTCACTCATGTCCCTCGGGACACTAGATATATCAGTACCTATTATTTCACTATTCACGTGAAGGCGCGTTCCCGGGGGCGCGCCTTCCATTATTTCGTCAGAGAATATTATCATTGCCCTATTATGTCACTCATGTCCCTCGGGGACACTAGATATATCAGTACCTATTATTTCATTATTCACGTGAAGGCGCGTTCTCGGGGGCGCGCCTTCCATTATTTCGTCAGAGAATATTATCATTGCCCTATTATGTCACTCATGTCCCTCGGGGAATAACTTAAATTTAACTTCTTTTGAATGTTCAACAAGTTAAGAATAACTTAAATTAAAACGTTATGTGAAGTTTGAATAAATTAGATAAATGTTATTGATAAATTGAATAAATGTGAAGTGATAAGTTGATTGTGACATTGAAATTGTATGGAATGAGCATTGAAATGTGACATTGAATAAATTGCCAATTCACCCCCCTCTTGGTTGATTCCGTCGATCGATGAACTCAACATAAGTTGATTTTAATGTATACGTTTTAATATAGTTTGTTAATGATAAAATCATATGTATGGAGTCCTTTAATTTCAATTTAAGTATTGTGAACTATAATTGGAATATAACTTTTAATTTCGAATACAATTGGAATATTAAGTTGAAATTTAATGTTAAATTTCGAATACTATAATTTATATTTTAAATTTAAATTTGAATAATATTATTTTTATTTTAAATTTCGAATAATATAATTTGTATTTTAAAAACATTTATCAAACATTTAATGTTAAATGTGAATAAAAAATAACATAAAAAAATATGTATGTAACAACCATGAAACATTTAAATAACATAACCAAATTACATAAAATTCTGAAATTTAATTATTTAAATAACATTAAATATAACTGGATCACCGATGTCGTCGTCTCGAATGAGTTCCACATGGCGGTGGTTGCCTATTTCGTGGAGGATTTCTTCGTGGAACTTGTTCTTCAGTCTCCTCATCTTCACTATCATCATCAGCAGCATTTTCTTCATTTGGTGCAGATGACGCTGAAGGGGCTGAAGGGCCTGTATAAAATAACGACCCTGGAGGAGTGCTAGTAACAATCCCACCGCTCCCCGGGAACTGTGGAAACTGTGGAAACATTGGCATCGATGCATGTGATCCAGATGAAGATTGAGGTGTCTGCGGAGAAGCACCACCAGCCAAATAAGATGCATATGAAGCATATGCTGGATCATTAAACATAGTCGTATATGCACCTCCATATGGTATAAAACCCTGCGGGCTAGGCATGTAACCTGGCGGGCTAGGCATGTAACCTGGCGGGCTAGGAATGTAACCCTGCGGGCTCGGAATGTAACCCTGCGGAGATGGCATATAAACTGGTGGGCTTGGCATATGAAGTGGAGGGCTGGGCATGTACCCCTGCGGCATCGACGAATAAGGATGTTGTGGTGGGACTGATGCAGAACCGGTAGCGCCTTCTCTCCGTCCACGCGTCGGGGGACGATGATATTGAGACGGTTGACGTCTTTCTCGGCGCCTAGGAATGTTAACCCCTCGTGCTTCCGCCGAAAGTAGAAACAGCTTCCCATTTTCATTAAACCAGTCCATATAGTTATCCGTAACCATATGACCAGTTTCAGCGTAATATTGTCGAGGGGCCAACAGTGTATATCGGTTCTCCCAAAGCGCAATCCAATCTCTGTGTCTCACCACCCAGTTAACATCTTTCTTTCCCCGTCTATCTATGTTATGCACGTCGTCTAAATTTCTAGGAGCTCCAGGAATATATTGCGTACAACCATACTGACGGAGCACGCGATCAACTGGATGCCACTCAATAATAGCATAACATATAAGAGGTATAACCGATATCCATACCTCTAATGACCCTCTAAGGTGGGGTGGGATGCAAGCTTTCACTTCATCGCTCGCATAAGGTATCCACTGAAACTGAAATATAAATATACAATTCAAATAAATAAAATATTCTAATTATATCTAACATTTAAATTAAAATATTAATAATTAAACAAATTTAAAAACATACCTCAGACCCAGCTTTCGTATCAATAAGTAAACGAATTTCCTCTAAAACAGTAGGTATACTTTTATGGTCCTTTCTTTTCATCGACCACCTATGAAATATAATATAAACTAAATATCACCCTATTTAATTAAAAATATTTAAATCAAAATTTAGTTCGAAAATTACCTCAACAATAAGGGGAATACGTATGGTTCATTCACGATCGGGCATAAGAAAGGCATGCGGAACCACGCCCATGATTGTAGAAGCAGAAGACATCCACCGATAGCAGTTTTCTTATAATTCGTCGCCCGACACATTTCTCTAAAGAGAAATGCCAAAACTGCAGCACCCCAACTATATCTTCCAGCTTTATCAAAATCGATCAGATGCCGCAACCACATACAATGCACCTGGTTGCGAGATTTGTCGGGCATCAATATTCCTCCAATTATTCGTAGAATATATGCCTGAGCACATGCCTTTGCTTGATCCTCTGAAGCATTTTCATTTAAAACCTCAAAATTAGCTTTCAACCAAGATAAAGCTATTCTACCTCCATTAAACTCTGGCGGAGCAGCTCCAAGATAATCAATGCACATTGATTGCCAATCACCATCCGCCATACCACATCATATTTCCGTCGACGGGAAGCCCCAGATGCATAGAGACATCCTCCAATGTAATTGTTGCCTCTCCACATGGAAGGTGAAAAGTGTGTGTCTCGGGCCTCCACCTCTCAATCAGTGCAGAAATTAGGACAGGTTCGAGTTTGCAACCGCCTATAATTGTTGCAATATACCCGAACCCAGCAGAAGCCAAATATGGCAAAATACGTTCCGGTGTCGGTATACGTGGATTTTTAATAAAAGTTTCTAAAATACGATCAGCATCCTAAATAATATATTATAAAAGTAAAAATTAATATAAATTCATAATAACTTTAAAATAAAAATAAATTTAAATATTAACATTAATTATAAAAATATTACCATATCGCTAAAATGTCTGGAGATATAATCAATATCCAATCGCAACAGCATTTCGTTTTCCATTATAACTGTAGACAAAACAATATAATTAGCAAAAAAATTAATAATTCTAAATAAATAATAATTATATAAATATTATTTTAATAAAAAAATAATATTTACATAAATATATTAATATAAAAATAATAACTATTTAAAAAAATACTAACATAAAAATAAATTTCTTACCACTAATAACAAATTTAAAACTCAAATAGTTGGAGAATTTGAGTTATATAAGAGATGAGAAGATGATTTTGGTGTGAAGAATGAGTGAGGGTTGAGGGGGTTTATATAGGGGAGGAGGAGGGGTAGTTAGGAAAAACGGATGGGGGCATTTATGACATTTAATGGAAGGCGCGTCCCCGGGGATGCGCCTTCCACACGTGTCTGCTGATATGGCAAAGGCGCGTTCCCGGGGACGCGCCTTTCACACGTGGCATCCAACTCAGCGAAAACACGGGTAAAGCGCGTCCCCGGGGACGCGCCTTTGCCAACTCAGTAAAAAAGGTGCTAGTTTTAGAAATATTGGTCGAACGGTGTTAGAAAAGTAAAATAAAAATAAACAGGGTAAAAAAGCCGCCAATACCAACGCCATGCCCCCCCCCCCTCTCTCTTTTCCCTTCCATTTTCCATTCACTTTTACTTTACCTTTTCCAATAACACATTATATATGTAACACCACTCTTAAACACCTTATAACCCCAAACCGAAGGAACTTACTTATCTCATCTGTTTTATCCGCTGTCTCAATCTGTTGTCTGATCATCTGTTTGTCCATCAAATGGTAATGGCTTCCCCAGAAGCAGGGCCAGGGATCAAGCTATTCGGAGCAACGATTACGTTGCACGGAATTCGACAAGTAAAAGAAAAAGAGCAAAACAAAGCCGATCATCCGACGGCGGATAAGAGGCCGGACAAGATCATACCGTGCCCTAGATGCAACAGCATGGAAACCAAGTTTTGTTACTTCAATAACTACAACGTTAACCAACCTAGACATTTCTGTAAAGGTTGCCAAAGGTACTGGACCGCCGGCGGAGCCCTTCGGAACGTTCCGTTCGGGGCAGGTCGACGGAAAGCCAAGCCACCGGTTCGTGGTCTCGGTGGGTTCCATGAAGGGTGTTTGTATGATGGGTCAAGTGAGGTGCAGCAGTTTGAGTTGGAAGGGATGGTGTTGGATGAGTGGCGTGTAGCCGCCGCGGACGGTGGTTTCCGGCAAGTTGGTCAACCGTATTGATATTCAGTAGTAGTTGTTCTTATCTTTTCTTTTTAATTTTGATTTCAAAAGTTTCAAAGAAGATTAAAAATTTGTATGAACTAAAGATCAATGTAAATACAGGCCCATCTTTGATTAATTAGTCTTCAAATTTTATCATTAATTATATGAGGCGTATAAATGTGAAAAAAATTATTTTACACAAAAAATTCAAACTATAATATTTTTTAAAAATTTTAAATTAAAAGTAAATACATTTGAGTATATTTAAATTCATATTGGAGTGGTCTTAGTGGTTAGAAAAAATTTGTTTAGTGATTCGGCTTCTAATATCATAGTTTTATATGTGTGGGTGAGTTGATATCTAGGTCTTTTCAATATGTTCAAGAACTTATTGAATGGTTTCAATGATAAAAAGTAATGATGTTCTTCTTCAAAAAGTTTAAGTTCAAATAGTTGTATTATTATATGTTATATTATAAACTAATTTTTTTTTACAATCATGCCTATTTTATTTTAGTTTGAATAAAATCAGACATTTTTATAAATAATACTATTCAAACTTAAATGAACAAAGTAAACATACCACCTTTTATTTAGATAGAATTTATTTTATTTAAATTTAAATAAACTCATATATATGTTACAGATAACATTCAAATATATTAATAAGATCTTAATTCATGAAATGTTGAAATTTCAATTTGGAGAAATGTGCAATAGTTTAATTATGTATGTTAATAGCCCAAAATCAACCTACGGATAAGGTCTTCATTATCCAATTTAATTAATAAAAAAATATTAGATCACCGGCAAAGTTAAGCAATGGATATGGATGCCGAATCATCATCATTTTCATCCTCATCGTAGATCTTTTGATCATGCACGTGCTATAAACTGGATGGATAAGATTGGTCAGAAAGTGGCAAATACAAAAAGGGATTAATGTAAACTAATGTAAACGTTAAGACCTAGGGCCAAAAAGCCTTGAACATTATAATCTTATCAGTTAAATAAATAAAAAAGTTTAACGTTACAAAAAGAGAAAATTGAGAAAAAAAATATTTTCATAATACTTTCTTATAATGTTTGAATTGAATTAATTAATTAAAACAGTTATTTCTTCTTTCGAAATTAAAATTATTATTCACTTGGAAAGAATTACTCATAGTATCATGATCATGATAAGTGAATTCTCATACATAAATATCATGTGGGAATTTAAATTTATTTAAACTTTAGGGTAAATTATATGTTTAGTATCTAAACTATCAGTTTGATTCATATTAATACCTAAACTTTCAATTTTTTAAAATCATACCTAAAGTTTAATTTTAGTACCACTGTTCAAAATTTAACATTAATTTTTGATTTTTTTATAATTTAGGTACTAAAACGGATAAAAATTGATAATTCAGGTACAAAACGTGTTAAGTTTTTAATGGTGGAGTGCTAAAATAAAATAGAAACTAAATATTAGGTATGATTTTTTAAAAAAATAAAAAATTTAAGTACTAAAACTAATATTTTAGATACCAAATGCATAATTTACCCTGAAATTTATTGTATTTGGATCTTACCAAAATTTACTTTCACGTAGACTTATATTATTAGTTATTAGTTGGCCGAAGATAATGAAGATTAGTTGAGGCCATGGCCCTTCTCAATTTTTTTTTTGAAAAGTTATACTTTAGATTTTAAAATCTTTAAAATATTTAATTTGATTCTTGTAAAATTTTTAGAAATTCATATTAATTTTTAATTTTTTTGAATATTTTTAATTAAATTCTTACCATAATTTTTAAAAATTCTCATTAAGTCTCTCAAAATATAAAAAAATGTTAATTATATCCCAATTTTTTTTGAAAAAAATGTAAATTGAACCTTTCAAAAATTTTAAAATTTTTAATTTAAAGCTCTATTTTTTAAAAAAAAATATTTAAATTGCCCATCAAAATTCTATCAACAAAGTCCGTCACGGATAATAATAATAATTAATTTTAACTTTAATTATTGAAATGTTGTATTATAATTATAATTGAAATTGTATTTAATTATAAGTAACAAAAAATCATAATTTATTTCATCGCTTTAAAGATGAAAATGATTTTGATGTACTGAAGAATCAATACTTGTTCATGCTATTATTTAGCGAAATTTGTGGTAAAGGGCATTTGGTTGGAGGAAAGGCAACGATGCATTATCGATAAAGTCTTCTCAGGAGCACATTCTAAAAGATATAGTGACAAAAATACATGTGAATGCTTGTATAAATAGTTATTTAATAATTTATTTTTTTAAGTGTTTTTTTCTTAACATTTTATTTTTCGATCAAAATAGATCACGTTAAATCAAAATTATTGATGTAACACATATCGTATCATTACTTTAAGTGATGAAACATATATCATGTGATTATTATAAGTGACATGACATATATCTCATCATCAATTAAATATATATAAAAATTTCATATCATCTATATATAGGTTTACCTTTAGTCAACTAAAATTTTCAATTAATAGATTATATTTTAACTAAAATTTACAATTTTGAAATTAAAATACTTCAAAAAAAAAAGGAACATGGCAAAGTGGTCGTTTGTGTAAATCTACAGTATTTTTTTATTATGCCACTTTAAAAAAATATTAAGAAAACAAAAATATTTTATTATATATAAAACAAACAATCGACATTTAATGAATAAATATATTTTTATTTTATTGTGATGAAAAGTTAATTGTATCATGTCTATAAAAATGTGAATCCAACTCATGCTACCACAAATTAGACTAAATGAACGACAACGTAAATAGAATGCATACACGTGGATTTTAATTATAGACTAGAGTAAACAGTATATAAGCGTTTGTTAAAATTAATGTCTAAATCATATGGGATACTTTGCATTATTCACATTTTGTTATTATTAAATTTTCTATTGAATACTTGGAACAAAGTAAAGAATCGAAGAGCATAGTTGAATTCATATCCAGAGGTAGATCAAGAACAGCATACAAGAAACTATCACAATCTCAACTAACTTAAAAAGAACATAAATCCAGAAAGAATAAGAATAATATATGATTCCATGGCAAAAGGTTGTTCTGATATGTTCTGTCAAACAAATATGGTTGGAGAAGGAAATGTGGGCAGGATGGGTGCCAGGTGCATGGATGAAAACACTTGCAATGAATGGACACTAAAAAAGTGACCGGATGGAATTGAATTTGATGGTTTATGTCCACCACATGTAAAATAACAATACAGAACAACCCTCACCCCACAAAAAAATAAAAATAAATAAAAAATACCACTGAACGATTATATGGTTCAAAACATTTCAATGTAAGGATGGTGGTGGAATGTATTAAATAACTCAGGTTTTATCATCTTTACGTTTAAGGCTTTACGAACTAAATAATCTTTATGGATAAAGGGATGATTTGTTATTTTTAAAAGTCACGGGTTTAAGCACGATGTTTACAGAGGTATTTGAATGTTTATTGTTAAATGATTGAAAATCTTTCAAACATATATTATCTTGTAATCACTCTAATTTAATTAAAAAGATACAGGACTTTGTCAAGTTAATTATCATTCAAACATATATCATCTTTCAAAAGATTAAGAATCTTTTAAATATATATTATATTGTAATCACTCTAAGTTAATTAAAAAGATACATGACTTTGTTGTTGTAGAATGTAGGTATTAGTTAGAGCAAAATTACAACTGATAATTTGAGAAAATAAAAATGAAGATAAAGAAGACACAAATTTTACGTGGAAACCCCCTAAATAATATAGGGTAAAAACCACGGGCAACGATAGAAGAATTTCACTATGAGAAAATAAGAATTACAATTTCTCTCGATCTAACAAAGAGAAAACAATGACAATTCTCTTTTGATAAAAAGGAGAAAACAACTCTCAAGAAAACTCTCTAAATTCTCTAGTATTGGGAGAAAGCTAGAATGATTTGGGATGGTTTTGAAGCTAAATGAGTTAGGGTATTTATAGTTGAAGCTTAATGACTAATTTTGTAAATACCCTAAAATATAGGGACTAAATTGGGTAATTTACCCTTGCCCAAATTCAACAAAAACTGCACCTAATTCGGTGCCTACCATTTTTTTTCAACAATGCACTTTCGGTACATTTGACTTTCAACAATCTCTCTCTTGAAGATTTGATTGTTCCAATTAAATCTTCACACCATTCTTTCTACCTTGTACCTCTTTGCTATATTCCAATGCTCTTTGTCTGGATTCGCCATGTACCGACTAACCACTCTCACTGCTTGTGCAATGTTTGGTCTTGTGCATATCATAGCGAACATTAAACTTCCCACTACCGATGCATACGATACTCGAGACATCTCCATCCTCTCTTGTTCACTGCTAGGACTCATACTTGAGGATAATTTGAAGTTAATAGGAAGGGGTAAAAATTGGCTTACAATCTTGCATGTTGAATCGTGACAAGATCTTCTTCAACCAATTCTTTTGTGAAAACCAAATCTTCCTATTACATCTGTCTCGGTGAATTTACATCCCTAGAATCTTGTTTACTGATCCCAAGTCCTTCATTTCAAATTCACTAGCCAATTGTGCCTTCAATTCTTCAATACGATCATTGTTGGGTCCTGCAACCAACATGTAATCCACATACAACAGTAATATAACAAAATCGTTATCACCAAACCTCTAGAAATAAGCACACAAGGGTCTGCATTAAGTCTGTTGTATCCAAGGCACATAATGAAGAAATCAAATCTCTTATACCAACACCTCAGCGCATGCTTTAGACCGTACAGAGATTTGTTCAATCTACAAACCAAGTTCTTATTTTCTTTTTCTTGAAAACCTTCAGGCTGGAGCATATAAATCTCTTCTTCAAGATTTCCATGAAGAAAAGTTGTTTTAACATCCCTGCTGATGATCACTTTGCGGGCAGTAGGATCCCACAAGCGATACCCCTTTACTCCATCAGCATACCCCAAGAATTTGCATTTCCTGGATTTTTTTGATCACA